TCTGTCAAGGACGAGGAGGAGACTATCTGCGAGACTCCATATGTTGCTAATGAGAATGAATTCCTTGGAACGGTAAATAATTCCTCGTACCCATGAATAATCACTTATTCGATCCCATCTCACGACTTCACTATTGCATTTTATGAGAGGTTCGTTGGTGAAATTATTTTTTAGGCGGGGGAAGTTGTCGCGGAGCTTCAGGACGAGCAGAAGTCGTTGATTTGGTTTTTACTGAAGCAAGTGCGTCCTGGAATGGATCTGTCCAAGGTGGTTTTACCGACCTTCATTCTGGAGCCACGATCCTTCCTGGAGAAACTGGCGGACTCTTACTACCATGCCGATTTACTATCCCAGTATGTATTCAATGAACTATTTATACGATGACTATTCAAAAAACCAATAATTCGACTTTCACACACAAAAAAAAATTCATTGAACAGCTCAGCAATTTTTGTTGATTCCCATCGAAATTTCTATTGCGCTGCAGATTCTGGTGAAACATTCACCATTCGTTCATTTATTTTTAAAATATCTTTAGCAAATTCACTAAGTGCTCTATCAATTTTTTTCGTACGTGTGAATCGTGAACTCGTGCTTAAAGGAAGACACAGTGGGCGCATGAGAAACTAAATCCATTATGAGCCATTTATTTTCTACGACTGCTTAAAATACAATAGCGAAAAGGTGAAACGGTTCAAGGATATCGAGGAATATCTAAATTCGTCGGAGAATGTCATGACGCTATTATGTGACGCCTTGGATTTATGAATTATATTCTCCATATTTTCTATTAAATTTTTTTACCGCGCGAGAAAATTTCCGGTGAATAGCCTGTGTATACAATCCATATTTTAATATTTCTCTTCATAACCGCTCATCCCACGAGAGCGGTGGAATATTCATAAAGTCCTCCCATCGAATTCCTGTCGACCCATAAAAATTATTCGATCCATCACCCCTGAAGAAAATTCGGTGATTAAATAAATTTCAGAGCCGTTCTCGAGGACGATGCATTTACGCGAATGAAAGGAGTGGTTAAGTGGTACCTCTCAGGTTTCTACAAAAAGCCACAGGGTCTTAAAAAGCCCTACAATCCACTGCTGGGTGAGACATTCCGTTGCTACTGGCAACATCCAAATGGCTCGCGTACATTCTACTTGGCTGAACAGGTAAAATTATTATGCGCGATAAAGGAACAGTTTCCAAGAGTAACTCGAGCAATTCATTGACCATTCAATCATCCAGATATCACATCATCCGCCCATTTCGAGTTTCTACGTGACAAATCGCCAGGACGGCTTCACAATAAGCTCAACTATAATAGCAAAGTCCAAGTTTTATGGCAATTCAACGTCTGCTGTGCTGGATGGTGCTGCTGTGCTGACGATGCTTCCACGAGGCGAGGATTACACCATGACAATCCCCTACGCTCACTGCAAGGGAATTGTCATGGGTACCTTGTCCATGGAGCTCGGTGGCAAAGTCAATATTATCTGCGAAAAAACTGGATATCACACCGAGCTTGAATTCAAATTGAAGGTAATTAAATAATTCAAGGGAAGGTCATGCGCTATTTCTACCGATTAGTTAAATCGTGTAGTTTCCTGGTATTATGAACATCTTTTTTTGGATTCCTCAGCCATTCTTGGGTGGTGCTGAGCAAATGAATCAGGTGGTAGGTAGAATTCGTCTTGGAAAAGAAACCCTGGCAACAATATCCGGCTACTGGGACGGTCAAATTGTAATAACGGATAAAAGAACGGGTCAGGAGAGTGTCTTCTTTAATCCTCTACCCGAGATTCGTCGCAAGCGTTTGAAGAAATACACAGTTCCCCTGGATCATCAGGGTGACTGGGAGAGCCAGCGTTTATGGCAGGCTGTCACGATAGCTATAAATAATGATGACCAAATCGCTGCGACAGACGCTAAAACTTCTCTGGAAGAGGCACAGAGGGAACGAGCCAAAGATCGAAAACAGAATAACCAGGAGTGGATACCAAAATACTTCGTTCAAGTAATACACTCTCATCTAATTCCCTCGTATCGGTCATCTAATGGAGATAATGAGATAATGAGTGATTTTTCTTATCGATAGGATATTATCACTGGCAATTGGGTGTACAGGCACGCTGACATACGCCCGTGGGATCCCAGAAACGACGTTGTACAATTCGAGCACGATTACATTGTTCGTACCAAGACACGTCACAAGACGCCTATCATGAGAACTGGAAGTATCGTATCCGTGGATCCACAGACACAGGTACAAGAGAGACAATATCAAAGTCTGAATACAAGTCTACTGAGTAAACTTCGTGAATTAACGAGAAGACTCAAGAAACAATGAAATTTGTAGAATATTTTTTATTATTCAATTATAATTTTTTTACGAGTATTTAAAATGGCATATCGACATTGAATATAGAGTATTGCCAGTTAGTTTTATTATTTATATTATGATGATTTGTTTCATAGATTTTTTAAATAAATAAATCGTATTTTTTGGTGATATAGTTGTCATTGGGGTAAGGCAAAGCTGATTAAAATGAACGGTTCAATTTTTCAATTAAGGTGATTTTTTGTTCTTGAATAATCAATTTTTTATTTATTCATTGTGGGAATGAATAAATATTACTCTGTCGTAATATTTACAGTAGACTCTCGATATAGTCGCGTGAATCTGACTATATTCAACTATTTTTTCATAGCAAATTCGAATCCGAGAGATATTTAATTTTCGGCTTTATTTTGCCCGCCATTTAATTCTCCACAAAAAGAAATGAAGAAGTAATACGACTATAACAGGATTCTACTATAATATATCGGCGAAATCTATTCAATATGTTCTTGATGATGAAATCTCGGGAATCAATTGATCTTTTATCCATTATTCCCAAAGACAACAGTAAAAACAGCTTTTCTTTTACATTAATTATTCAGTTTCTGTCCATTATTATTTAGCCCCCGACCTGTTGGATATTGAATAGATAAAATTTTCTGAATTTTTTTAAATGTAACATCGCACATGGTTAATTTTGGAATAGTATCACGAGTTTTGGACTAAGCACGTGAGAATAGTGTTTCTTATGAATAATAAAGAATCCGGTGTTTTAAATCGTTGGGGAACGTCTAATGATTTCAGATGCCGTTATTACAGGCTGAATCGCGATCGTCTCTGTCAGTATTGAAATCATCGAAGAGACAATTGTCGAGTAATTTACCACTGACGGAGACTGCTCATGATTCGGGGAGTTCGTCCGCAGATGTACATTCCGACTCGAGTCAGTCGATCGGGAAGAGACGGAGGTCCAATGCCAGGTATTTTTTATAAACAATTGGTCTATTTGGAGAGTGAAGGATGTACTGGCAATGGGGCCCTCCAATATTTCCTATTTTGATCCCATTCTAGGCTCATGCATTCCATCAAGGAAGTGGAGAGTCGAATGCTCCAGCAAGGCGAACAGCTGAATCGAATCCAACGAACGCTTGAGCAATTAGCTATGAGGCAACGCAGCTCGAAAGAATCGAATTATAACGCCAACATGATGAAGAATTTTGTGGACACCGTTATTGTCATTGTGGTGGTCTTCTTCGTGCAATATATCTTCAAGATGTGGAATCGTAATAACGTGGATACCAAAGAGACTTGGTAATTATTATTCATATTTATTTCAATCGACGAACTACTGAATCGGATCAGATTCATTAACTCGCGGTTTTCTCAATGGACTATCAGAAATTTCGTAGAAAATATTACAACAGAATTTTTCTATTAAATATTTTCTATGAAACATTTAATTCTAAAAACATTTTTGGTTTCTCGTGTAGATCATCAATGGCGTAATTTATTCCTGTGTTAACCTGAATAAGGATTCGGTAGAGAATCCTTGATGGATAAGGAGCAGCTGGAAGTTTTGATTACCAATGGATGAAAACGAAATCGACTTGTTGGATATGAGTGTAATCACTGGTGATGTATTTTCGATAATCTGCCTTTCTGTACGTGTTTATTTAATTCCGATAATTCCGTATCAGGGTACATTATTCTCGAGCAGTGTAAATAGACGGTAATCGGTAAGGAGAAGTCAGTAATGGATATTATTTGTTGAATTATTGAATCATTGATCATGTAATTTTAAAAAGTTATGCTTTCGTATTGTTTTCTAATTAAATTTTTCTATGTTCTTTTCCCTTTAATCAAGTAAAATTAACATGAAATTCCGATATTTTTTTCATTTCCAAAGCTATTTGTATATTTACGTTTGTTAACGAATAATTAGGTGTATAAGTACATAATGATTGTCAGATAGATTCCCACTAGAATAATCAAAGATTACTATAGCGGTTGGAGGACCTGACGAATACGATTGATAAGTCGATATCCATCATTTCTAACAGTTTCTAAGATAAACGAATTCCATTCAATCGTGTGATTACTAATACCTGTGAGTAAGAGATATAGAAATGGATACCTGGATGAAAGCTATTTATTAAATTTATGCATTAGATGAGTCAGAGATCGAAGGTATCAGGGTAATGTGAGGAGGCAATTGAGAACGGAATTAGTAGTATTTCAACGAACACTCGAAACATCTTGAGCAATCATTATTAAAAAATGACACTGTAGAGCCAGAATTACTGCACTCGTTGTTACTAATTCAAATCGATATCGAATTGCTTGTTAGGCACATGTGCACTGTAATTCCAAATGCATTGAATAAAAATTAAATCATTCGATATTTCTTTCACTATCTGCTGATTAAATTCAATTAGAAATTAAGATAGGGATTGATGTAAAGTTCTCCTGCAATTGAAATAGAAATAAAAATTGTATCAATCGCTGTGCGATTCTCGATTTATCGTTACAGTAGAATCCCGTTATAGTTGTACCTCTCCTGAATTATGTAAGCAATCCATGGTTTCGTCGAGTGAGAAATCGGGTTTCAGGCAAAATAAAACCAAAATATAAATTTTTTTCGTATTTGAATTTATGAAAAAATTCAGTTTACGGTGGCAGCGAGTACCTGGTGAGGGTTGAATGCAGTGGAATTCTCGATATATATAACGGGAGTTTACTGTAATGTTATAAAATATTTACAATCCCGAAAATTATTTATTTCCTTATTCTCGTGAGAGAAAAAGTTCAAACGATTGGGAAATATTCTGTGTGGGAGATGTGCCATGTTTTTTTTTTGGTTTTTGTTGATTCAATTGGGATACGATACATTGGTGACACACATCAGACGAATAAATTTATATTCTCTATTTGTTAATTTTAAGATATGGGTCTAGTCGAGATTATATTGTGCAAAAATTAAACGAACATTAAAAAATCATGATTTCACGTTTTTATTTTTATATTCAACTGATTTTCACAGGTGGGGTACCCCTTGTCGACTGGGTAACGTCATAATTTACATTAGATACAGTCATGAATAACGAAATTAAATTTTTCCCATTGGTTGTCATCGTATGTAGCTCATTGGTAATACTAAAATGAATTAATGAAGAGTAATAAAATGAGTATTTACGTCAGATGATGCCGAAATTATCACAAATAATGAGTGACGTGTGAGTTGCATTCAGATGTATATATCCGCTTGTGACTTGATACTAGGCTTATTTCGGAAATAGTCTTTTATGTATTGATTTACATATTCCTCCTCTGAAAATGAATGAACGAAAAATATTAATAAAACATTCAAGCCTTAACCAGCTTGACTAAAATATAAATTTAAGTAACAGAACCATTTAATATATAATTAATTGCAGGCGGAAATATTGAAAATTTTTTCTGCCGTAAATTTAATCAGAAAAAAGCTTTCTGATATTTTCCCTGAATGCTGTAAGTTGCATAAACAATTTGAATAATTTATCGAGATTGAATAAATGTTTACTCACCAGGGAATGTATTGTCAATAATAAGCATATCACTAATATGTTTAGCAACAGCCTTGAAGAGCATTCGATCCTTAATAACTTTCTTTTTATAAAAGGGCATGAGGTACTTGACGACCCATGGGGCAATCCTCTCCTTGCAGGAAGTCAAGTGATCCTCGATGAGGATCGGCGAATCCGGCGCCAAATCCTCTCCATCGTCATCCCCAAAGAGTTCGCTAAATCGGCTCCTAATTCTCCCATGTTTTCTGTAATTTCTCACCGACAACTCCATCATTTTGGCCTTGAGTTTGGAGACCTGGTGAATTCTCTCCACCAGCCAAATTCCCCGCATCTTCTTCGTTTCCTTGTCCTCGGGTATCTCCTCCCCACCTTCTACAGCTCTCCTCTTATTTTTATAAGTGTAGAGCGATAATTTACGTTTTCCACTGACACACGACGACGTGGACTCCTGGGAGGATTGCGGAGTGGCAATTGACGAATCAGGTGTTTTGGTGACAGTTTTGACGACTGGAGGTTTAACTGGAGAACTTCTTGGACACATCTTCATGATCTCCTTCTCAAGATTTGTCTTAGTGACGCCTGAATGTCGTTCTATCAGGGCAGTTAAATCGCTGCTGTCGTCACTCTCGCAGAACATGTCCTCCAGGTGCTGCATCAGGGAATCCTGGGATGCCTGATCGTCCTCGTGGGGTCCATTGACGTCTGCCTCGAGGTGGCTCAATAGCTCTTTCCTCTCTTTCTCATCAGTCTCTATTTTTTCTACTTCCTGGGTTTCAATTTTTTGCTCCAGGGGTTCCACCTTCACAGGCATCTGAGGATCCTCCGGTTCACCAGCATCATGAGGACTAATTTCTAATGTCTTCAGGGGGTGGGGGAAGAGCTGAGTCAGTCTCTCGTCAAGAGATTTAACTTCGGGATTTAATTTTGTCTCTATTTTGGTTCTACAGTCGAGTGATGGATCCTCAACTGCAGGAAAAACTTTGGTCTCTGGTGGGAGTAAATCGTCAGTGGTTTGCACCGCTGCGTCGACAGTTGTTGGTGGAGTCTGCAGGAAGATTGATAACTTCTTGTGGAATTTTTGGCGAGATGTACTTGTCTTCACTTCGGATATCATTTTAAGCATCGCTTGACGATACAGTGAAGCCTCCAGGGAGGCACGAACTGCTTGCAGCTCCAACTGACTAGCGAATTTCTTCAGCTCTACGCGAGAGATTTCTCTTATTTCAGCAGTTTTACAACACACGTTGTAATTGTTCAGTATGGATTTGTTGAGATAGGAGAAATATACGCGACGAACCTAGAAAGATATTTCGTTTACTTCGACGCGGAGTCCATCAGCGAAGAGGAAAAGGATAACAGGATAACAGGAAAAGGATAAGAGATATCGAAATTCCCGTGATAACCTTTTTTGCAGTTCTCAATGAGCTCTAAAAAAAATATTCCGGCGAAAATAATGAATCTCCCTTAATTTCGAAGATATCCTTGAAAAACTCATGGCAGAAATCAGAAAACTTGAATTGTTTCCCAATTCATTACAGAATTGCAATTTGATTTATGATTAAATGCTGCCTGATTATCACAGTTATCATAATTGAAAATCATGGAAAGACCTAAAATAGAGATGAAGAAGAAATGAAGTAATTACCATTGAAGTGAGCCTGAGGAATTCGTTGGTGGGGTCGAGGTCGTTGAGAGAACTCCTGTCAAGGATCGATGGTTGTGACAACGAGGAGACACTGTCATTGTCTGTCTCCTCGTTGTCATTGTCACTGTCTTCACTGAGATTCTCCTCTTTCTCTTGCTTGAGCACCAGAGGTAGAGGCATATCGAGCGGTTTCGCTGCAGTCATGCCGATGATGACATGAATTAAATTTTATCACTGTATTTTCTTCTAGGATCACTGGATAACGATTTAATTTTTTGATATCAATTGTTGACACTTATAATCTCACGACTTTGGTTTTATTTCGGATTGAGAACGACCTGAGAACTTCCAGTGTTTTGATCCGACGAGGTTATGGCTGATGTTGGCGAGGGTGGATGTAAACACTAATGGCGAGACGGGAGGTCCCAACTCAGAACCAACTCAGGGCATAAACAAACTATTTTTGGATACTTCCAATTTCTTAATTACCAGAAAGGGGAGAGGGCTGGATGAGGACATATTGATTATTCTTATTATTATTATTTATTATTATATTATATTATTTATTGTATATTCTTTAGCGTAAGAACCGCGCTATACAATTAAGTCAATGCATTATTTATTTAATTTCTTCAATTTTGAATCGTTTGCATTCTTTTTTATGAATTATCTTCCTAGAAATTTATCTGAAAATACAGCGACATCAATTAATATCTGGATTTTATAAAAAATGACGGTAAAATATAAATTTTAATATCAAAAATATAAAAAACGGTCTCGCGATGGTACGGCCCATTGTCAATCCTCGATTTCCATATCTTTCGAATTTAATATTAAAAATATAAAAAATGGTCTCACGATGGTACGGCCCATTGTCAATGCTCGATTTCCATATCTTTCGAATTTAATATTAAAAATATAAAAAATGGTCTCACGATGGTATGGCCCATTGACAATCCTCGATTTTCATATCTTTCGAATTAAGACCTCAAGTGAACGAACACACATTCGGGATCATTAAGGAAACGAAGATAGTGAATAATCTGAATAGGAATGAATGAATATCAGCAAACCAATTACTGGTTTTTAACAATGCACCGCAACTGCAAATCACCTTGTCAATGATCTGTGATAGTAACGGAAACACATGTATGAATCGTAAATAAATCCTTTATTACCGCAAATGACGACTAGATTGGATAAGAATACTATTCTAAAGGCTATTTTGCTGCTGTTCGATAGCATAATCCTCCGGTAAATAGCATGAAAGCATGCAATTTCTGCTTTAAATACTGTGAGCAATTGCACTGCTTCAAGTGTATCCATCCACAATGTCAACAATTTTGTATTTGGTGGTATTAAGTCTTGCTGTGTTTGTCAATGGTCAGGCTGACTATTGCGATGTCGAGTCTTGCGAACCCAAGGGACCGCATACCGTTTGCGAATATCCGGTGAGATCTGTTTTTCCTACGCACCAAAAAAATTTTCCAATAAATTTCCCCACCACTCACTCCTTCTTTCTCTCAATTGTAATTGTCCAACGAATCATAATTGTAATTTCTCGTGAACTCGAACTCATGCACGAGAATTAACACTGCGGAAGATTTTAGGGTTGAATTTTTCATTTTTATAACAGGAAATTGAATTAAAAATTGAAAACTTGAAAGATGCAGAAGAACTTGTAAATTTTAGTCTGATAATTGATAGAAATAAAAAATTGGGCGTGTTCTTGAATTTTTATAAATTAATTTAATTGATCAAGATCTTGTGGAAATGTTATGAAGATATTTGTTCGTCATGACTCTTGAATTCTCAGTGGGAGGAACCCTCTGATGACTGCGGCGAACTATCCCAAATCGGAGTGACTGATGAAGAAAAGCAGACAATCCTCGACAGACACAATCACTGGAGACGATACGTTGCTGCTGGCAAGGAGAAGAGGGGTAATCCTGGACCCCAGCCCGCTGCCACCGATATGGAAGACCTGGTATTAAAATACCGAAAAGAATTAATAAAAACCCAAACATCATTTAACAACATTGTACAATTTTCTCCTCATTTATTTACAATGATTTTTACAGGAATGGGACGACGAACTAGCCTACATCGCGCAGAGATGGGCTAATCAGTGTAATGATGTTCATGACGATTGTCACGATACATGTGAGTCGCATTATCTCAATTCTCTGTTTTTTTTTTCAGACAACTCCATCCCTGAACTCTCATTCAATATAATCACTGATCAATTAATCCCCATAATGAATAAGCTTTATCTTCGTTTAATAAAAATTGTGACAACAATTTTTTTCTTCAGATCAAGAACAAGTGGGACAGAATTTGAATTGGGGTGCGTGGAGTGACGGTTATCATCCTAATGTTATCAGAGACTTGGTGGACAATTGGTACAACGAAGTGGAGCATTTCAATGCCAACACCGTGTCGTCTCTTAAGTAAGTAAATAGAATGAAATAGAAATATTTGATTTTCACTGAATGGTTTTCGTGTCTAGGCCGAAACCACCAGGTGTCAAGCTGTACCATTACGTGCAAATGGTTTGGGCGGATACCAAACGTATTGGTTGCGGTATCACAAAATATACCCGAAATGGTCCCACCAAGGCCAACCCCAATGCCTGGCCGGAATTGTTCCTCGTCTGCAATTATGGCCCAACTGGGGTCATCCTGGATTGGCCACTGTACAAGACAGCTTAATTCAAGACCCAAATTTCCCCGACTTTCATGATTTATTGTAATTTAATGTAACGATGTTATCGAATTCATCAATAAAAAATAATATTTCTGGAGTCAGACGCAAATATATTTGGCGTTCGGTTTTTTCTGAAAAAAATCAATGCAGGGATTTTTCCATAAAATTACAGAGTGAACATTTGGATGTCAGTGATTTTAGGATTGTCTTCTCGTTTTCGTTTTGTTTTGAAAAAAAAAGAAACAATCACAGGGAATTCTGTGGAAAATTTCTAGTGTCATGCAAACAAAATTACTGGATGTTTGTAATATGATTTATAGAAATTTCTAGTTAAATTTCTCGAGAGTTCGGAAATTGTAGATCGATACAAGGGAGATTGAATGAGGCACACGAAATTCACTTAAAAGAAAAGGAAAATCGTTGTAAATTATATTCGTCAGGTACACACTGAAGCTTATCAGGATTACGAAGTTAGTTTGAAATTAGCCCCTCCAATAATACGATGTTATCAGAACGAGAATTAGTCACCGCTGATAGCGTGCCATTGGCGAATTAATTCTACAGGCTATTCTATCCCTAGTAATTCCCTGAAAAATTCAATCCGCGTGTCGCATTCTCAACGCATTCAATTTCTATAATTAATTTCAATTGGTAATACTTCAAATAAATTAATAATCGCACTCTCAATAAATCTGATTTAATCATCAATTGAATGAGAATTTATTTGGGTCTGAAATTAATCTTCTTTCTGTCAATATCATCAATAATTGTCAGATATTTCTATATTCGATCAGAAATTCCAGTGTCGGCATTGAATTTCCCCTAGTAGGCACTTGTCGCTTTTCCTGTGCTATCACTAAAATTTTCTAGAGAATTTCTCTTCGCGTGCCTTATCAGAAATAAGGAAAGTAATAATGTTTATGCAAGAGTACAGCAGGAAAAATTCATCCGTGATTTAAATAATACAAAACTTATTATTGCAAATGACATTGCCCGAGAGTAGTAACGCTTTCCTGTTGTGATTATCTACTGAGACATCACGAACAGTTTAAATATCGAGTTCTGAATCGATTCTTTACAGTAGGACATTCCAGGATGGGTAGAATATTGAGGCAGTTACTGCTACTCTGTTTCATAGCATTCATCAATGGACAAAAATACTGTGATCTCAGTTCCTGCGGACAGAGTAATCACACTCTATGTGAATATCCTGTGAGTCTTTCAATTTTTATTCATATAAAAATACGGATTTTTTATTATTTTTTTATCGATTTTTGGTAGTCATCAGATCCTGCTAGCTCGTGTGGGGAAATAGGAATCGTAGGGGTCACCGAGGAATTGAAAAACGCCATCCTCAAGAAGCACAATGATTACCGAGCTTATGTTGCCAGTGGACAGGAAACAAGAGGCACCAACAATGGTCAACCTGGTGCTACAAATCTCGGACCTCTGGTAATAAAATCATCTGCAGATAAGTAGTCCAAAAAAGACAAGAAATAAGTTGAGTTTTCGGGGAATATCTCTGGATCTACGAGAGATGGTCTAATTTTTCACAAAAAAATTGAGTTGTTTTACAGAGTGAAACGAGAACTAAAGATTTCTCCAAAATTTTCAAAATTCCTCTTAGATTTTCGGGGTTTTAATTAATTTAATGGAGATTCTGTGCAAAAAATGTTAATGATTCTGTTCGCAGTCATGGAATAATGAAGTAGCAGAGATAGCGCAACGATGGGCTATTCAATGTAAATTTGCTCATGATGATTGTCGGAATACAGGCAAGTACCGAGATGATTTCCTATTAGTGTCTCAAAGAATATGTTCACCACTGAATTTATATTTACGATTATTCCCCATTATTTTCCCTACGATGATTTCAGCGGACCATTACGTGGGACAGAATATTGCGGGACTCGGTTGGAGTGATCACTTCCATGATGAGGATAATATCGCTGATCTGGTGGATAGTTGGTACAACGAAGTGGATAAAGTTGACAGGAATATCGTGTCATCATACCAGTGAGTAATAGAAATAGAAAAAGATTGTTATTCTATTATTTTTTCCCCTGTTAATCTGCACTTGCGGATTTTATACTGTTTTAATTAATCCTCTGTGATCCACAGATTTTCTAAAGATACTGGGCATTATACCCAGCTGGTCTGGGCTGAAACCAAGGAGGTGGGCTGTGGTGTCATTAAGTACCATAGGTCTGGAGAATGGTACAACACCTACCTCGTATGCAACTACTCCCCAGGAGGGAACATCATCGGTGCGCGGATTTATCAGACCTCTTAATGAGAATCCTAATTTATCGTTTGTATTTCTGGCCCCGCCACTAGGCCCATTTGGTTGATTCAATAAATAAATTCGAGGGAAATTTATACATCGTTATATTTTGTCCTTCTTCCTTTTCTTTTACAATTAAAAATAGTTGCAAATAATTATGAATTACAATTAACTCAAATTCGATTATATGAATTTATGAAGAATGAATATTATAAAAGAACAATAAATGATTCAATAAATAAATTCGAGGGAAATTTATACATCGTTATATTTTGTCCTTCTTACTTTTCTTTTACAATTAAAAAATAGTTGCAAATAATTACGAATTACAATTAACTCAAATTCGATTATATGAATTTATGAAGAATGAATATTATAAAAGAACAAGTGGTTCAGGTAAATTGCAGGAAGTCATGACTTTTTCAGAGTTGTTTTTTATAATTACCATTTGGCGTAGGTTTTATTGAATTATTTATTAGAAATTACGATGGAAAAAATACGAGTATTGATGGGATTAATTATTCAGGGTGAGTTTTATCATAAAAAAAAGAGTTCTGGTCCAATTCCTATTCATTAACCATCATCCTCGAAAATTTCGACTTGTCCCTAAAAAAATGGAATGCAAAATAAAATAATAAAAAATAATAGAATAAAAAATCGAATACCCGACAGGTATACTACCCGACCGAAAATGTAAGCGGAAAATTTATTTGTTTTTCCACAGAACTCCAGAACCGTAAATAATCCTATGACATTAATGTTAATTGTTGAAATTATTTTTGCAAATTATATACACTGGTGCACTTTCCGTGTAAGATTATTTTTGCGTATCGATTATCTCTGGAGGAAGCTCCCAGACCACGCAATCCGATATTTAAACAACGAATTTAAAGGGAATGCCTTAGTACCTTTTCATAGAATGAGGAGAACACTTCAAGTGCTATTGCTGTGCTTAGCATTAGCCAATGGACAACAGCGGAGATCCTGCAATTTATCTTCTTGCAACGGAAAACCCCACACTCTGTGTACCTACCCCGTAAGAAAGTTAAATACCCCAGAAATATTTAAATAATTGCCGCAATGAATGAAAATGAATTTGAATAATTGAATAATAAACTGACGAGTTAAACTCCACATGAATATTTAAATAATTGTCTTTCTGTTTTGCCCGAGAATTTCAGGACGAAAATTTGGTCAGACGGAAAAGTTCTAGATTTAATACACAACCCAGTTTTTCTATGATTTTTATTTTTTCTCTATCATATTAATAATGAATATTCCAGTTAACTGGACCAGCCACTTCATGCGGTCAACTCGGTGCCAGAGGTTTGAATCAGAACGAGAAAAAAGCTATTCTCGATAGACATAATTATTGGAGAGGTTTGGTAGCAAGTGGACAGGAAAGGAGAGGATCTCCTGGACCTCAACCCGCTGCGAGAAACCTTGGATCCCTGGTAATTGAATCTTTCCAATTTTTCCGTAATTTCCTTCAGTGATTTTATCTATTGAACTGAATTCTCAGTAATAGGTCAGTGATTTCTCGTAATTATTTTAGAGATGGAACAATGAAATAGCAGAGATCGCCCAGAGATGGGCTGATCAATGCGATTACAGGCATGATGAGTGCCGTAATACAGGTAATATTTTCCTTTCAATTTGCATTTGTCACTTTCGTTGTCATTTCTTTTGAATTCTCTAGCCAACAACATGCACGTGGGACAGAACATAGCGTACATCGGCTGGTCTGATGGCTGGCATGCTGACAGCTTGCTCAACATGGTTGACAATTGGTACAACGAAGTAAAAGATTTCAACAGAAATATGGTCAAGTCTCTTCAGTAAGTCCCTAGGCACCTCCACTCCAGATAAATTATCATTCCATCATACACTTTTACAACTGTCATACGATGTCATATTTTTTATGACTACAATTTCCATCGTACATTGCCAGAGATTATGCCAGGTATAATATGACAATTACCTCACGGAATAATTCAACAGAAAAACGATAACTGACGATTCCCTCGCATTTCTCTTCAATCTCTAGAAATTCTGTTATGAATTCTAATTAATTTAATTATTCATGATTTTATGGGACTGTACAAAATTTGTGTAATTTAAAAAATCAAGGGATTACGTAAGTTTTTTTATTTGGATAATAATTGAATTATTTATTTGCACTCAGTCTTCCGCCAGAGCCACCGAAACTAGGTCATTACACCCAGATGGTCTGGGCTAAGACCACAATGGTAGGTTGTGGTGCATCAAGATACAAGAAGAAGGGTGAATTCTACAAGACATACCTTGTCTGCAATTACGCACCAGGAGGAAACTACGATGGACAACCCGTCTATCAACCCCGTTAATCCAACGTAGAAGTAATCAACAGAAAAATTAGCTATTCAAATGATGTACCCAATTATTCCCCATAAAATTGCATAATGAAATTTCTCAGACTCCGTAATTTTTACCTCAAATTTCTCCCAACTTTTTCCAAAATTTTCTCTACTTTTCTCTACGCGGTTTCGTTCGCAATGCAATAGCACGCAATCGCGAATATGTTTAGATAAATATTTACGAGACTCTGGAACGACTTGTTTATCACCCATTATCAATATTTCGTGGACACCTGAATAATTGGTACCTTCACCCCTCATAGAATATTCATTGGACGATCAAACGCAAAATGCAGTCTCTGGAAGAAAAAATGTGAGGATTTAGTGGCTGTTATCAAGACTTATTACCCGTCATTCTATTGACTTTAATGATCTTTATTTGGGGTAATCAAATATTTCCATAAGTTTGTTTGAAAAATGCGGCCTAATTTCTAAATAATTTTATTATCTCAATAGCTTCCTCACGAGAGCACGTAATTGTAATTGATAATGAGAATGACGCATTGATTGAATCTCTGAAACGTGACATTTCATCTTCAAATATTTGTCCATTGGGAAAATGAATTTCCATAAGCTCCCGGGGATTAAAAAAAATTGATAAGAATGTCTCACTGACACTCCTATTCATTGCAGTCTCGATTATTTCTCTGTATCAATATTATCTCTCGTGCCAGTGCGTCGAAGAGCGCTAAACAATATTTAAACAGCGCGTGTAAATAAATTTCTTCAGTGCACCATTAGACGATGGCCAGAATATTAACGCAAGTGTTACTTCTGTGTGTTTTGGTCAATTCTCAGCAGCAGAGGTACTGCAATTTGTCATCATGCAGAGGAGTGCCTCACACATTATGCCTCTATCCCGTAAGAATTTTATTTTTTTTAGTGGGTCAAGGGCAGTCATCTGTCTTCTTCGATTTTTGACAAGATAAATTTCGGATACGAGAGTGAAATTGTTGGAAATAGTGAATATTCGAGTGATTATTTTCCGAAATGTTTAATTATTTTGAAATTTTTATTTAATGATATTTTGGTTTTTATATTTGGATTGGAATTTGGGGATTTTAGACGAGGTCTATGGCATCTTCGTGCCGTCAATTGAGCCGCAGAGGTTTAACTCGGAGCGAGGAAATGGCAATTCTCGACAAACATAATAGGTACAGAGCTTTTGTGGCCAGTGGCCAGGAAAGAAGAGGCAATCCTGGACCTCAACCTGCTGCAAGAAACCTCCGTCCTCTGGTACACGCATTATTGTGAATAAACGAGGAATTATTTGCCTACGGGGATTTCACTGAGGTGTTCGTTCCTTTTTGCAGAAATGGAGCAAGGAAATTGCGGAGATTGCACAGAGGTGGGCGAATCAATGCGATTACGGACATGACCGCTGTCGAAACACAGGTGATTTACTTTTAATACAACTCTCGTTTTGACTTGCAGAATATTAATGAAAAAATTTGGAGAATTTATCATCGAATATTTTTATTAAAAATCCAAAGCTATTGAATTTTAGGAATTGACTGTCAAATAAAAATAACGAAAAATACGAATTCGCATGAATCTCAATAGAATTTCAAAAAGAAATTCTATTTTCTATTTTTTCTAGCTCGTAATGTTTATGTGGGGCAAAACATCGCCTGGATCGGTTGGACGGATAGATGGTCGAATAATAGTATATTCGAGATGATTGATACTTGGTACAACGAAGTCGCACAAGTGAACAGGACTTTAGTAACAAATTTCAAGTGAGTGCCTCAAAAATCGTCAGTCACGACTGAATTGTTATTAAAATCAGATTGTTCCTTCCTCCCAAAATTTATTCCGCCCAATTTCTAAATATCGATGCTTTATCTGAATTTATTCGCAGCCTTCCCTCTGGCCCTTCAACCCCGATTATCGGTCACTACACCCAGATGGTATGGGCTAACACTCATTTCCTCGGATGTGGTGTATCAAGATACCGAAAAGATTTGTACTACATAACATATCTCGTCTGCAACTACGGTCCAGGAGGAAATTATGCTGGTCAACAGATATATCAAATTCGCTAACTTATTTTACGACCTTGAGAAAATAAATTCATATTTTTCTCGGTCTTTGTATGGAGTTCCATAAGAGTGTCAACAGGTATAATAAAATAAACATCCTCGAGGAAACTTGTTGATTTCTTTTCGTCGTATTTCACCAGTGCCTTGCACCCACTCAATCTTTTCACCTGTCAAAATATTCTCAGGTGATTGCACCCCATGAGAATGTCTTCACGCAAAGAAATGAAGTCATTACTATAATGGGTAATACATAATTATAATAATGTTTAAATGTTAAAATATTTGAAAATAATACAAGGCAATAAAAAATGGATGAATGCATGGGATTAATCGGCGAGAAATAATGGGAAAAGCACGGGAAATTGTGGAGGTGAATTGAATAATGGCGGGGGGAGATGTAAATAGTCTCGACCAATAGGCCCCAGGCGTTTGTGCGCAGCTGCGCGGTGGAATTGCGCATAATTGACAGGTGCACTGAGTATCGATACAAGGTGCGTTTTCAGTGTGAATAAAGAGTTCCTCGCACATTTCGAACATTCTCCTCATTATGAGATAACAACACGAATTCTTATCATAATCAAATTGTGTTTTTACTAAATACTTCACCAAGTTATTGGCGAAAATATGGCTAAAGACGAGGTGGATGATCTTCTGCCTGACAAGGACGCAGCGAAGGGCTTTTACGCCAAATACGAGCCCAAAGAAATTCTCGGAAGGTTCGTTTGTTTTTCGGATTTACATCAACACTATCATCTGTGAATTTCTCATTCTCCGAGTGTACCATCCGAACAGAAGATTTGATAACTCTCCCCTATGCACTGATGCCCCATAATTATCCCGAAATTAATCAACTGAACTGATAATTACATAATTAAAATGAAATATCTCTCCAAAAAATAATCGAGTCTGCCTGGCGGCAGTTATAATATTATCAATATTTTTATCCTATTCATACGTAATGTGCACGATAATTAAGCAATATAACCTATGAAGTTGATGAATGAACAATGAATCTGTTAATTGGCGATTCATCAATTGTAATGAATTTCAATTCATTCCCTGATTCAATTCCAGAGGAATTTCGTCGACGGTGCGGAGATGCATTGAGAAGGAGACAGGCATCGAATATGCAGCTAAAATAATAGACATAAGCAATGAGCCTCATGATGGGGCTGAAGGTCACACAATGAAAGATGCTACTATGCAAGAGGTGCATATACTGAGAAGAGTTGCTGGTCATCCCTACATAAGTGAGTTGGAATTTCTCGTTGTGTCAATCATAATTCACTGGTTATTATTCACTTGCAGTTGAGCTACATGACGTGTTCGAATCGAATACCTTCATTTTTCTCATATTTGAGCTGTGCAAGAATGGAGAGCTCTTCGATTACTTGACGTCTGTTGTCACATTGTCAGAGAAGAAGACGAGATATATCATGAGACAGGTCTTCGAGGGGGTGCTACACATTCATAATCAGGGAATTGTTCACAGAGACCTCAAACCTGAGAATATTCTGCTTGATGATAATTTGAATGTCAAGATCACGGATTTTGGATTCGCCAGAATGCTCAAGTCAGGGGATAAATTGTTTGGTATATTTAACCCATTGATCTATTAAATTTTTTATTCACTAAGTTCTGGGGAAAACGTGGAGAAATATTTGAAATTTTTTTACACGCATTATGAAATATGTAATCATATGTAATTTTTGTAGTCATGTTTGATTGTATTGCGATTTTCAGATTTATGTGGAACTCCTGGTTATCTAGCCCCAGAAGTTCTCAAATGCAATATGTTTGAGAATGCAGAGGGCTACGGATACGAAGTAGACATGTAAGACACGAAAAATCATATTCTTCTACATTAGATCCACAAATATTGAGTAATTGAGCAATGTCTGGTGTAATCAATTTCCATACGTTCGATTTTCAAGGTTGATTTCTGAAATTTATATCTGATAACCGAATGAGGGACTAAAAATGTGTTGATATTTGTGTAGCTGGGCCTGTGGTGTAATAATGTTCACTCTGTTGGTTGGATGTCCACCATTCTGGCATCGCAAGCAGATGGTGATGCTGAGGAACATTATGGAGGGAAAATACTCGTTCACCTCGCCCGAGTGGGTTGATATCACTGATGCTCCCAAGGACTTAATTAGGAAATTACTCGTTGTTGAAATCGAGAAGAGAATTTCGATAAAAGACGCCTTAGATCATCCATTCTTTCATACTGTGGTAAGTCTACCTCACTTAATCCGTGAGAATTTATTATTACACCACCAGAAAATCTCTGCTCTCCTGTCTATCTATTCAAGGAAAACAATTCACTGGTTTTGGTGTGGAAGTCACTGCGTTGGTTTTTGGATACACGCCGCATCTATTATTATCACACAATTTTTCTTATTTGACTTTTTTGCTTTTTTTTCTTCTCTTTACCCTAATTGCGAAAAATTAATTCAACGAATTGGACACAAATGAGAGTCGATGTCAGGAGACCATCGCACAAAGAGAATTCTGCATTGTATTATTATAATTACAGCTGTGGGATCAAGATATAGCACCACTCAAGCGTTCACTCTCCTCTAATTCACGACGCCTAAGTAGGATTTCCCAATTAGCTTTGGTAAATTTGGTTTTTTTATTTTTTTCTCGCCACCGATTTCATTTCTAACGAACATCATCATTTCATCGACATTAATAAATAGTAATCGTGACTAATGGATGGTTATTATACTGGAATTACACACTAAACAAAATTTTACTGCACTCAACAAAGAATTTTATCGTCATAAAATAATGTTTTTCTCGTTCACCACTTCTCTACTGAATTTTCCTACTAAGTATTAATATATTGTCATTCTCCATTCCATTAGGAATTGAAAGCTAAATCTTTCAATGCAAGAAAAAAATTCCAGCTTGCAATTCTGACAGTACGTGCTGTGATACGTATCAAGAGATTACACACGACCCCCGAACCCCTGTCCACGTTGGTAGCTCGTGAAGATCCTTACCGAATCAAAGTGCTGCGAAAGGTAAATGAGCGATAATTTTCAATTGATATGTGGCTATTGTTGGTGATTTGATCAATCGCATGATTTATCCTGTACCCAGGTGATCGATGGCTGTGCTTTCCGGGTTTATGGCCACTGGGTGAAGAAAGGCGAGGGACAGAATCGTGCGGCCCTCTTCGAGAACACCCCTAAAACCGATTTGAAGCATCTTTACGTGACAAACTTAAGTAGATAGCCAAATTCTCTAGATGAATAATGATAGGCAATTCTTCCAAAAGTGTAATAATATCCTGTTATACATTGAGATTGTATTTTTGGGAAAAAATTTTAGACATAATTTAGATATATTCTCGTACTAAGATAAATTTCCTAGTAAAGTGGTAAAATTATTTAATTCGATTTTAATTATTAATCAATGCTTAATTAATATTTCGTGATTTGAAGTTAATTTTTGTCAAGACGTTTTTTGCGGAAGTCATTAAGGGCTATAAAGAAATACTAAAAATTTTCTTTGCATTCGGATAAGTGGGATTGAATTGTTCCTACCACTTCGCTACTGAATTGTTTATCTGTTTTCTCTTAATCGATAAGTGAGACGCGAGCCAGTGAGGGAATTGTGTTCTGTACAGATTGTTGATAAATTTCTATGGATGATAGATGATGATAATGATGAAGGGCTTGATTGAGGTGCCCTCGGTCGATTGAGCAATAGTATTAATCACTTGAAGTGCTCTTGGTACTAAAAACACTGACAATTTGTTCTTGAGAGTGCGTTAATTTATTATAATCCCACTCAGTAGCGGAAATCTCCACATTCTAGTCATTTCAAAATTCTCCTCTTCTTTGTGTGAGTCGTGTATTTATGATAATTTTCTGAACAATGGATAGATCAATAAATAAAATGCAATAGTTTAATTAAATCGTTTATATTCATCAATCTGTTCTACAAATAATTCAACTTGATCTAATGTTTCTTCGTCTCCAATAAATAGAAAATATTTATTCACCCCTGGTAACTGTTCTCCGAAGAAATTTGTTCGAAAAAATGCAGAGAGAAATGCTTGAGTCATGGACACATACGGAATTCCTCGTACTGAGAAATATAATCATAAATACCGATGTAAAAATATTCATTCACCCTCGTAATCACAGAGGTAATGTGGAAAAATGATAAAAAATATTCGACAGACTAGAATTTTTTTAGAACTCTGACAATATCGTCGTAAACGAGTTCTTTAGCATCTCTGCCCCAAAGATAGTCAATGTGATTGAACTTTGAATAATTGATCCTAAATTTCTCGATGACGTTTGGCAAGGCAGTGGCGAGACTTTCTATATCCTGAAACAAAAAAAAAAAAAAATAAAACATACATTCACATACTTCCTTTTTTTTCGAGAAGAGAAAATTGGCAAACTCACTGAGGTGTGATTCAAGAAATCATTATCACTATAAAACAATCCAACGGGGAAAGTCACTTTATTTAAATCGTACAGAGGAGGCTCGGCTGTTCCATACAATTGCACATTTAACTTCTCCCCATAATCAAATTTCCTAAAAAGACCTGTAAAAAGAAAATTAATTAAAGCCCTGAACATGATTATTCATTAATTGAGCAAATTATGGCGGCAAATATTTATTATGAATTTATTATTAATTACTCAGAAATAAATTGACGAAATGAGTGAAGTTTGAAAAAAATTGATTTAGTTGGCAATGGAAGGATTCGTTTACATTTTAAAGCCGTGAAATTGATAACATTACCTGACGTTATCGTCTGACAATAATGAAGTATCTGCTTGGCCGAGGCCCCAGCCGGAAAGTGTCCGAAAACAACAGGCATCATAGCCTTGTCAAGTTGATCGCTGCCAAATCCAGCAACAAGATGAAACCACCCATAACAAAAAGTCTGGGCAAACTTGTCAGGTGCATTTCTCATGAGAGTTGCAAGTGCAAATGCCTGAAGTTTGTTTCTCGGAAACCACTGATTGATATTGCAGTACACCGACGCCCACTAAAGCATACTAATAATAAATATAAGATGAAAACAAAAATGGAGATGGCGAATTCCGTCGATTTATCGTAAAAAGTGGGTTGAATACTGGAGGAAATGATATGATTTACGTACTTTCATCAGGACGTGAAGTGGTACAACGCATTTCAAAAGTGGGCTACGATGATTGGAGAGAAATGCTATGGGTGCCATGCAGACCATTCCTTTTATTTTATCAATGAACTCAGGACGTTCACTTGCCATAACGAAGAGAGCTGTTGTACCCTGGCTGTAGCCAATGTACGACATGTATGGATTACCAGTCTTATCCAGGATGTAATCAATCATTGCTGGCAGGTCATACACTCCGATCTCATGCCAGCTACATAATGAGAAAATCCTCATTAATAATGTGAAAACGATGGCAACAGTATTCTCTAATTATCTAATTCCTACCTAAAATCCCAGAACTCTTTGTCCTTTGTATTGAATTTTTTATGACATTGTGAGTATCTGTTTCCTCTCGCATTGGCCAGCCACACGTCATACCCCTCGTCGCAAAGTACATATGCTGAAAACAGAATTTCCATGTGAAGAACAAAAAATATCTGCAAGAATTCAATCGTGAAGTGGTAAGGTGACATTTCTCTTTCGAATGTAAACCGTCCGTTGATTATTTACAAAGAATATTAAATCTATGCAGAGACTATTGATTTTGGGAGAAAATATGAAAAGATCTTTTTTCTCGGAGATTTAATGAACTGCAAAAAAGTCCTCTAGTGTTTCAGTCTTGAATCAATAGTTTTCGAGATACTTCGATCATTGGAAAACAGTTGAATTATTTCAGTTGGCCAATTGATAACTGAGTTAATTGTCAGTCCAAAGTGCAGGGAATTGTGAATTACCGAGTGCTCGTTTTGGACCGAGTAAAACCCAGTCGGCAGAGCTAGAAAGGAGTCCATGGTGAATGAGGACCGTTGGTCTGCACTTTTTCTCGGCTTCATAAATACTCCACGATCCTGTTTCCACATCCGGTTCCGTCACCCTGTTTTTTGGGATGGGTGGAACAACTCGGTGAATCTCCAGACGATAACCGTCCTCTGTCCAGACATGATGGGTCTCTGCTTGATAGCCATGATGGAATATGAGTTCAGGCTAGAATATAAATGGGAGAACGTGTTTGTCTGAGCGAGAAAAAAAAAATGGTTATGCCATTTGAAAACGAGCAAGTCACCTTGCTTTTGGAAGTGGAGATGACGGAATCATGCGGGATAATAAAATTAAAATTCAGCGCTCATAGATGAAAGAGATTGGTATTTATTCAGAAGAGTGGAAAAACCCTTGAATAAATTTTGTTCCGTGGGGATATTCAATATTGATCAATGAGTATTTCAAAACCCATAAATAAATTCTCCTACAGTTAAATTCTGTTTTAATTATCGAAAATCACAGTGAATGCTAATACTACGAATTTTAATTCATTTCCCCATCAAATTTTTGACAGATTCTCTTATTTACCCTCTCAATTCTATGAAATCAATCATGTTATATATCGAATAAGAATTTATAATTGCCTTTATAAAATTTATAATAAGTCAGTCTGAAAAAAAAATCAATTGATTCAATCACTTCTCAGAATGCCTATAAAAAAAAATTAAATCCCAAAAAGAATGACTCAAATTTCTATTGAATTTATTTCTAATAATTTTCTAACAGTGTAAACCACTCCCCACTGAATCAACCGTTTAAAAATAAAAATAATTGACAAGACCAAACATCAGCTGCAGCTGTCAGTGGCGCATGGCTTCTGGAATCCTCGACGATAATAATAATGCCCTTGTGAGGTTAGAGCACGTGGATCATACGTATTGCTGTCAAATTCTTATCAGCTCATGAAAAGCCGAAAGAATCTCGACGTCATACAACAATCACAGCAAGAGAACCGATAACTCCGTCTCGGTGATGAAATCATAAATAATAATCAATGACTCACCGTTGTCATATGAATCTCATCATTATCCGTATTTCGTAGAGCACTATTCATTTCACGGAGGACGCCGAGGCCAGGTATTTTTTCCGTTGGAATAGTTCTTGTCAGAAAATTCCAGAGTCGTGAACGCATACGAAATCCCTTAATGACGTTGAGAAAACCCAACGGAATGTGTTGTTGTTAATGAGGTAATTGATGATGTTCACTGGATATTTGAAGGGAAATTGGGGGAATTGGGGATATTGGAGGAATTTTTGGATTGTAGATCTTCGTTGATGAGACACCGAGGCGATGGGAATTTACTCTTGCACTACGTTTGCATCACTCACTTGGGCGAATTCGTGGGAATAATTGACCTGGAGATGGTTTTGGGGGCTTCACGGTAATGGGATGATCACCAACTGGTTTCACTGATATTTTGCGTCTGCGTATTGCAACTGACGATTGACGATTGACGACTATTGTCTGATGATGGGGTTCTCGGTGGAGAGACGGATTTTACGAGTGACTCGATACTACTTGGAGCTTCGCCACGGAATGAGACGCACATTTCCACTCACAGGCATAGGACGCTATGACAGACCCTGACCAGAGAGTGGGGGTAAAACCTCTCGTTTTTCTACTCGTTAATTTAATATTCACTTGGGAAATTCTGGCGAAATCCTCCGACATCGTGGTTTCGTCATTGTTTTTATTTTGATCATCATTTTTTTTTTATTTAAATTATTTAAAATAGAGTGTTGGAAATTCATTGAGTCAATTGAAATTCAAACAGCGCAATCTAGGGGACAGTTTTTCCGTCCACTGTGTAACTTCGAGTTAAAGTTAAATCTAATGCACTTACTTTGTTCCCATGTCAGAGGAATTATTTCCCCTATTGTGTACATGAATACGAAATTCACTCTATCAGTAAGAAAATACGAATCTTTGATTTTTCCTCTGAGGGGAAAATTGATTCTTCGAATTATTGGTAACATTAAATAATTTGATTCCACTCTAATGATTTCAGCAGGAATTATCTGATTTTTTAAATAATAATTGACGAAATTCCCCTCAACTAAGTTCTCTATTCATCTCTTGAATAATTACTCTTATTCACTCCATTGAGATACGACCGACAATCCGAGATCATTCGTTCTTTTCCGTAATTAATCGGTGGATATTTAAAGATTCAGAAGCCTACGACCTCACCACAACAAGAGTTTGCCGATTTTTTTGCTGTTCACCCTCGGGATTCTGGGAACAAAGCAATAAATAAATCTTTCATTTGATGTATCATCGATGATTGCTTAGGGAATCGGGTCACAATTCACTGCTCGGTCTTTGTCTATCGAATCTCATTACGTAGTAATACAATCATTTATTCGAGATGTGCGCAGTCTTCCAGTGCATGAATACATATTTATTCTATATATCCTCGCATTTTATGCCTGAGTTCTACAATATTGCGATTTATGCCACTGTTTGTCACTCTTCGGATGACGAATAACTATTTTTCACTAGTGTCAGGCACTTGTTTTTAATTAACGAAACTAGTTCAAGTTGGATGATTAGAGCTGTTTGTCTCCTTGTTTCAATGGTATCTCGCCTACATTTCAGTTCTTATATCAGGCGATTTAATTTCTGCATGCGTCAGGTTTTAAACTCCAAATTGCGACTTGAATTTTACTGGGTAAAATTGAAATTGAAGACCAGAGGATCTTAACATCTCCTTTTCACCGCAATTATGTCTCCTCCAATTTGAAAATTAATTGTAATAAATAATTGTAATTATTATAAAACAAACTTTTCAGCTAATGAATTCAAACTAGATACCTCAATTTCAATTTCGATTTCATTTTTTTTAATCATACATTTTTAACAGAATTCCTTTTAAAAAATAGCGTGTAAAGTTTTTTGTCAATTTTTTTTCGGTGCATAGCTAAGCTTTGCATATCATACTATATTTACATATAATATAATATACCATTTAAATAAAATAATGATTTGTCTAGAATGAGAAAAAAAATATTGTGTTTATAAATTGAATTTAATTGCAGAAAAAAACATAAATTATGGATAATTTTTTGAGATATTTGAAATTCTTTGAATATTAAGATTTCAGATGTCAAATGATAACACCCCATACTAGTAAATAAAAAATAGTAATAAATAAAAAAGGGCAAAATAGAATTATTTCAAGATGTAATTAAAGAAGAGATGAGTGAATCGTTGGTTTTATATTTTCATATATTTCATTCAAACATGTTCTCATTGTTCTCCTGAGGAACAGCTCCAAAACTAACTCGTCACTCAGCTACAGCATTTAACATCGATAAAATTTGCAAATGATATTTATATTTATTTACAGTAATTCATGAAATGTTCCTAGTTGATAATTCCAATGATGGAATTTAAACAGCATCTAGGAACATATTGTCTCACGACTCCTCCAAATCATACAGATGAATTATTTGATCTAGGCTAGGCGCATTTTTTTATTAGCACGAACGTTCATTTTCATAACATAATTATTACTTAAAATTATCAACTCGTGTCTCATAAATGTGGCAGCTTTGAGATTCAGTACTTTCGAGAGACTTCTGAATTTCGTTTTCTTATCTCGATTATCTTAAAATTTTCTACTGAATTATCTGATTATTTATGGTGGCGATTTTGTAATCAACATCTAAGTGGAACGGACACGTAATCCGACTGGAGTGATTAAACATAATGTGTCGACAATAGTTTGAATTTATTCGGTTTATCACTCACTCGCGCACGTTACCAAGCAGTTGTGAACTGGATATCTTCAAACTCCCCGAAAATTCACTTCAGAAGACGTAGAATGTCCAGTAGACAGCGTTGAAGAGGATGAAGCTGACCGGAAATACGACCCGTGAATATTTATCAATGACATTGACATCCTTGATTTTTGGTAATGACGCCTTCAGCACAGAGGCGCCGCGTTTTAGGGCATGAAATACCTGAAAGTGTGACAATCCCCACATTACTGCAAGTAAAATCCAACCATGCATTAAACTTCTAAAAAAAAAACAAATTCGCTGGTTGACAAAAAACCTTGACATCAGTAAAAAAGGCCACTAGATGAATATTCCCCTCGCAGAGAGGAAGAGGGAGATATCACAGTATTTTTTTTACTTCGCCTTTCCCTCTTCCTCATAAAGTCCATTTGAATCCTGAGTTCTTCAGCTTGATAGGATGATGGATGACAAAAAATATGAATGATAAATAATTAAATGGTAAATAATTTGCATTGACGTAAGTTCTGAGAGAATATAATGAGGATCGAAAGTTGTATCGAAAATCTGTCGTGTAATCCGCAATCATCATCGAGCATTTGATGTCTCGTGCAGAATTTCCAGTGGTTTTCCCCTCCAAGCTCTAATCCGGAAAGAGAAAACCTATTCGATAATCATTTGCGCATGCAGCTGAGTGGTAATCAGCGTCGATGAGTTGTCGAGTGACGATAGAAAAATGAAAATGGGAACCTTTGGTTTGTGCTGACGTGGACCGCGGTATCTAAGTCCACTGTTCCTGGCGTTATATCGTGCAGGACGAAAACTAGGCGGAAAATGACCGCGATCATGAGCTCCAACTGCTGCTGGGGTAGTTGCACCACTTGCCAAACCCGATCGGCTCCTGATGCTCGGTAGAGGCGATATCCGAAGATCCTGAAGCTCAATTATATCCGCTTCCGTGGTTTCTGTTATCGAATTTTTTGGAAATTACTTTAAACATTCGGAATGCTAAACATTTCTCGAAATTTCAATCACACATCTAATGGTCAATTATTAATAATTCCCTCCAAATTTCTGGTTGACCCCAAAAATCCCAGAAATTCCAAAATCATTCATTTCAATTTTATTGAATTTTTTTATTAAAAATTCAACAGCAAGATATTCAATTTAATGATATATGATTTATTTTGTTCTAGTCTCTATTCGGTTTCAGTGGAAAGTTGAGGGATTGAATTTTCATCTTCTCTTTTTCGAATGCCGTTCTCGGAGATTGTCACCTTGAGTTCCATTGAAATGGAAAAAACACGATATATCATTACAAACGTTGTACCTGGAGTTTGAACTGATGTTTGTTTCTTCATGAGATCCCTCTTCTGTTTAGTTTTTTTTCTTGCTCTAGCGCCCCAATACGTGTAGTTGACAGCTGCATATTCAAGTAGTGCAGCAAAAACGAACACGAAGCACATGACGAGATAGATGTCAATGGCTTTGACGTAGCTGATGCGTGGAAGTGAACTTCTAACACCCGTTGATATCGTGGTCATTGTCAGCACAGTTGTGATACCTTAAGTGGAAAATAGATCTCACTGGTAAAGTGGTACGTCAATAAAATCTCCAACAATCGTCCTAACGATCTCACCGAAAAATCGAGACAAAATTTCTCAACAAAAAATATCTCTCTCCTGCCAATAAAATAATTTGATTATATCATAAATGCCCCCGGAGAAATAATAATAATAATACGCTTCCGATCTGACGACATTTTCCTTTCCCCTTCCCATTTCTCTTTCTCTCCTACATTATTTTTCTTATCAATACCATTCTATTATGTATTATTCATATTTATGCACATCATTTTTTATCGTTGAGTATTCATTTATTCACTAGAGAAGAGTTCATGTCCTGTCATTTTATGTTTGTTTATTTAGTTTTTCATTTAATTTATCGATGAAAATTTTGAGAAAGACAGTCGACTCGTTGGATGATGTACTCACCAAGGGCCACTCTAGCACTCGTTGCCTCATGATTAATCCAGAAGCTGACCCAGCTGAGCATGACAATAAGAATACTCGGTAAATACGTCTGAAAGACAAAATAACCGATGTTCCTCTCAAGTTTGAAACTCAACGAGAGTCTTTGATAGATGCCAGTTGCAAGACGCTCCTTCCGATCGTTAGTCTCGTATCCGAGTATCGTGAATTGGGGCAGTTCAGCCTCTTCAACACCCCTCACTGGTGTCTCCTTCCAGTACATCACAACGTCCAGGACAGTGTATCCATCTGAATAAACCAGGAGATGCCAAAACTTGCATTGCAATAAAAAAAAAACTAAAGCAGCAAACACAAATCGGTGAACCAGGCAAAATCTACAGTCTAGTGGTACAATTGAACTTGATCGTTCAAACAGAGTTAGCTCTGGTGGTTGATACCAGGATCAACATATCCACGATCTTCCGTAGTCTGCAGTAAAGCCACTTCATCAGCCAACTAGATCAGTCTGGTAAACGTTAACGCTTACGCTATGGTTTAGTCTACGGTAAATCTCAATCACAAATTGAATTAATCGAGCTAATGGAGAACAACAAATATGTATTCCCGGGATTTAGTTCCTGAGGAGGGCCTCGGGCGTGAGTCTATCCAATCTGTACTCTACACTTCCTCAGTTTATTTATCGTCTAATCGACAAATTTATTTCCTAAAAAAAAAAATTAACGAAAGTTCGCTACCACTATTTACACGATATACATACAACTTTCAATCTCCACAGTGCAGTTCTGCGAGTCCAGTGGATAGTAGTGTAGGTCCATCATGCATGCTAGTGTAGTTGTAAATCTCATTCCATACGTTATCGAACCATCTCCAGATAGTCTGACGAGTTTGTTGCGCTCAGTGACGTCGTGAAGAAAGCTGGGAACGAAACCTCTTTACAAAATTTGTCATTAAAATTCATTACTTCATTCCCTGTTTCACATGGGGATTGTAAAAATCAGTTTTACCTTAAAATAACAAAAACTAGAAATTAACTTAATATTACTGCAACCTGTCTAAGTAATTTTCATTTATTCTTCAATTATCTCAATTTGCCAATTAGCGATTCAATAAGTCCACGTTAAAACGCATAATATAAATGAATTTTTTTTCGAGGCCAGTCTCGAGGGGATATCTCGGAATTGAGAGGAGATAGCGATTTTTTAGAATTTACACTTTTTTTAGGGAAGGGTGAGGACTACAAAAAAGGTATCTATAGAAAAATCAGTAACTTCCGTTAATTCCAAGATATTCGCTGAAGACTGAGCTGGCGGCAATGATTTATATGATTTCATGTGGATTTGATTAGTGGATTTGATTATATTCGATTGGCTTTGGGCGATTAGTTGATTTTAACTGGTTTGTGGTAATTGGAGAGATTGATATGAACCGAGACGATAATTGTCGGGTAGTGGTGTTGAATGTGTGTCAATTTCCAAGAGTACTCTTCACACAATAAAAAAAACGAAGCGTTTACCCCCCTCAGCTGTTAACCCACATTTCAGGAGTTATAATCGATCGTTATGCACTTTCTCTCTCTCTCGTCATCTCTATTACTTTCTTCGTATCCCCCCCCCCCCCCCCCCCTCGACCCTTGTGACACATCTTCTATTCACCTGTTCTTGTCGTTGGCGAAGAATGTATCCGGTACCCAAATCTTCTCGGCAAAATCACCACTCAGCGTCAACACTTCTGCCTCGTACGAAAATGCCAAACGCTCGTCCTTCCAGTACTGGTTCAAGTACATTGTTATCGTGTAATCCTGTTAAGAGATAAAATGTCAGGCTTTTTTTTTATTTCAGGGATCATAGGATTTGGCACGGGGGATGACGAATAATACCGGATTTTCTTTTAATTGGGGAGGAGAAGTTTACAGGGGAGAGTCAGCAAACGGTTTTGATTCTTGATAAGGGGAAACTAGGGGAGGGAAATGAATCTATGAATGAAGTTATGAGGAGGGAGATTCGGAGGGATGCAATGAGTAGATATTTTTTAAGGAGTGCATTTTCGAAATCCAAAAAATTTGAAAATTTTTGGAAAAAACACGTTTCGTGAATTAAATTAATTAAAAAACTTGATGAACTTTAATTTATTTTTTTAATTTTGTATTTTTAGTCGGTGAAAGAAATTCATTGCGTAAAATGATGGAGTGAAATTTCGATGATAACATGAACTATTGCAAGATTTTTTGTCTTGTAGGGAATATTTTGGTCATTTTTACTTGTATATCTCGATTTAAAATCTAGTTTTGAATTTCTCATGGTCAAGTGTACGACTTACCATATTCACTTCTGATATGGCATCGAAACTCGCGATGGTGAGGTCCATGCCAACTTTGAGAGGATCCCCTGTCAAATAAAAAATGAAAAATAACGTAAAAAGTGGATAAAACAGTAATACAATCCTGTATTTCCGTGAGATATAATCGATTCCACGATAGTCGCTGCCGACACGAGCGAAATATTAAAAAAAGATGTTGGATATCATCCTGACGGCATGCGGGTTATTCAATTAAACCGGTTAATGATGCCCCGTCGAATTGAATGGCGTGGAAAGTTCAATTAAGGGCTTTCACGTCCATCAAATAGAAAAAATGGAAATAAAAATTACTGAGAAGACAGGCAATCCACTCGACCGTATTTCATAATCCATATTGTCTTATCAGCGGCATAATAAGGTTTTCGGTGAATTATGGAGGGGGAACTGTAAATAATGAGGAAATACAGTCGAGGTGATGGATGACTCCAGCTGAGTTTGATAAAAAATATCTCGCAATTTAGATATTGTCTCGTTAGGATCTACTTGACAATTTGGTGTCGGAGGGGAGGCTAGACTTGGTTGCGCTAAGAAAAATTGAATGGTACCGTAAATTACCTTTTAAATTATTCTTTTGTCACTGTAAATTATTATCCATTTTTTAAAACTTTGTAATGCCTCAGTACTTCAATTCTTTAAACTCATACTCATATTCATACAAATCGTGAATCATAAATTGCGATTTGGAAAATTGAAATTTGAGTTGTAAATTAAATTTGAAAAAATTGAAGATCATTTTTATTCCAATTGATTTTATAATTATATTATTCTTAACAGATGAAATGAGATAATTCAAATCTGTCATTTCTGAACAATCGATTTCTCCCAAAAACTATCGATTGCTATTTTTTCGCCAATGAAAAGATGAAATATCGTTTTTTTCAGCTGATTAAATTTCCGATAAAAAACGTCTTTCGATATTTTTTCCTGAAATTAACAGTTTTTGATATGAATAGATAAGAAAGGTCGATTATTCGACTTATCGTTGGTTGATCGGCGGGAGAATGAAGTGAAGTGATTATTTTGAATATTAGTGAATGGAGAATTTTCTTGACTAGAGACTTGAGAAGAATCAATTTGATCCCCAGTGTCCACTCAATTCAAATCTTTGGTCTTTGAATATTTATAAGAAACTGGTGGTGAGAATGTGGTAGTGGGTCAGTACGTGGGGTGAAACCCTCAATTTCCCGACGGGACACCCGTTTCAACCACAAAACTAGTGCTCACTATGTGCGCATTTGGATCGATAGGTGACATGAGAGTCTCAGAGAGTCTCGTTGAGATGATTCTTGGGTATGAGGGGGAGAAAATCAGGGGTTTGCGTACTTACCTCCGAAATTGGGACGCAATCGAATATCGTAACCGTCGAGAATACGGGAAATTGTTTGGGTCACGTTCTCCAACCTATCGGATGCACTGTTGCCACCAGACTCCAAATATCCCCTTGAAAAAGGAATAAAAAGATTTTTTACAAAAAGGGTTGAAAAATTTTACAGCCCCTGGCGAAAAATTCTGTCATCGATTTCCCCATGAGAAAAAATTTTATCAAATATATTATTACCTTTTTTATTTTTATTTGCAATTTCTTCATCGATTACAAATCCTTTTTTCAATTAAGGAATTGACGAGAGTTTTTTAAATGTTTTATTGATTTGGAGAGTAGTTAGGAATTATTAATTGGTAATTAATGGATTTATTACGAGAATTTATTTTGGTGCAGTAAAATTTTTTTTGATAGTTAAATTGGGAAGAATAAAAATAGTAATTAAATGGATATGTAATTTTTAGGAAATTGTACTGTAGAATTGAGTTGATATTCCTGCGACATTGGAATGATAAATCCGGGGTGATGTTCAACTGCGTATGATATAAAAGTCGAAAGGGCGGTTTGCTCAAGCCACATCGTAATAAAAGGTTTATGAACTTGCCATCATGGCGTTACAAGAGTCGAAACGCGCTTAAAACTTTCGAGACCTAATTACAGAAGTTACCGGAAATCTTGGGGCGAAGTTTAGGAAAGAGTTGCTTCCAACTCGCACTCATACGAGTGGAATCCACTCAGCTCTTCCATTTTTCATATTCATTCCGAGATAAATTCTTCATGCATTAAAAAAAAATTACACCACATGTCGAAATTCGGAGTTTAAATAATCCCCGAAGGACAGGAATTACGCCGCGTGTCGTCAAATAATTCCATTTAACCCCGCAAAAGTGCGGAAAACTTTATTTTTAATTACACTACTGAAATTTAAACTCAAAGTTTTTAACAAGCAATTTTCATTGAATTTCTAGTTATGCTGTTAGTAAAATTCTATAAATCATGTTCTTAAAACAATTCCATAAAACGAATTATTTCCCTTAAAATAAATGACAGTAAATATTAATAACTTTATAGATTTTATATTTTTACAGATTTTTTTGGGTGAAAATCACAGAAATTTCTGGAAAAATCGGCTAATTTTTTTTTCAGTGAGAGATCACTCTGGGGTAATGAGAAAAATAATCAATTGCACTTGTCATAAAATATTGACGATCAGTGATTGATTGATAATTGATAAAAATTGAGGAAGTGCGATTTATTCCGATGAAGAGCTTTTCACCGTTTATTGACTAAATTGTCAGCGAGTTGCAATCAATATCCACAGAAAGCAATTCCACTGCGTTGTACCAGTGACATTAATTGCCATGTTTACCCAACTCGAGTGTCTAATCGTGAGCTAATTACATTCACCTCAGAGGTGTCTGCGAGCGTTATCACCCCAGAAGGTTCCCATAGAAACTGCGTGCATGGAATTTATGAGAGATTTCAGATATTTCACCACCGAGAGTAAAAGCCCCGAGGCAAGTAAATTCAAATGAGATTTCACGTCTGAACTTTATCTATTCGTGAATTTCTAATACAAAAATTGAATTTCAGATGCACTCTGTATTCGAAAACAAATGCCATTTTATTATCCCCATGTCATTTCAGGAAATTAACCGCAAAATGACGGAATTACGTGTAAAATTATGAATTAATTGGGTGAATCAGTGAAAAAGTGGAAAATGTGCTGTCAAAAAAATGCAGTGGACATTGGTATTGACCTGGGATGGGTATTGGCTGTAATGATTGTCATAATGCTTGCAATATCTCTGTACACGTATTATCGGAGGGAATGGAGTGCACGTCATGTCTGATGAGGGAGAAGAGTCTCTAAATGTCGACTGATATAAGATTGATATTCACGTTGACCTTTGAAATAATTCAGTGGATATATTATCATGCCCCCAGTATCCAACAGTTCAATCATATCCTCTGGATCATCGTGATAGCCATGTGCTTCTTATTTTGCATCGTTATCTTTCACACGATAGACCACATCGTGGGGCAGAGAGTCTCGCCTGGATAATATTCGTTGTGAGTCAGCGTCAAATGTTTATCCATTTTTTAATATCAAATCTTAATGCAAAAAAAAAACAAGGGGAATTGTTCTGTTGCGGGGTGATAATTTAGGATGAGTGAATTTTTTTCGAGACGAGATGTCGTCAATATCTCGAAATTGAGGGAAGATACCGATATTTCGATAGATACCTTTTTTGTAGCTTTCATTTTTATCTTGAAAAAATTGTTTTACGAAAAAATCGGTATGTTTCTCCAATTCCGGGATATTCGCGAAAAATGGTATTGAAAGAAAAGCAGGGCTCTTGAATTTATAGTAATTAGTTTTTCGTTTGTAATAATTAGTGTATTTTTGCAGAACTTTAATGCAAATTCATGATTTTCAAGGTGATCTCTCGGTAAATTATTTGTTTATAATAGCAATATTCGAGGTTTGGGGTGGAAGTCGCGAGTCTGACAGTTTTTGTTGGATGAAATGAGAGAGGAATGATGAGGAAATCAGAGGCAGTTGGAAGAGTTTTAATGGATGTCAATTAAAAATTATACAGCACTTGTTAGAAACAGCTCCCATTCAAGTACTAGGATTTTCTCTGAATAAAGAACATCGGTAACTTTTAGCACAATTAACTCAAGCTTAGGGTATTAAATACTGAGCTCTCGAGTTCTCTGTTCTGGACTTTAACAGAACTCTTCTTAGGGTATGTGAGAAAATAATTTGTTTAAAAATTCAAGTGCTTTGTAGAATTAATTTACTTGATGTGAAAAAAAGTGACGGGCTTTGAAATTCTTTCGCAAAGAATGGAGAATCAATTTTTCACTCAAGACGGTGAGAATTTTGTCGGATTGTTTTGTCGACGAAGTTTTTATGGTATTATTTTACAAAATTATTATTTATATTTTTCAGTCCTTACCAGACACTGAGGGGGCTCAGGTGGACGATAAAAATAGTCAGGAGAATATCGCCCGATAACACCATCCTGCTGCCAACGAAGACACTTTTTCTTCTTCCTCTTCGTCACAACACGACACGAATACGACAGACCGTCATCTCGATACTCTTCTTTCTCTCTAAAAAATCTGTCAATTTATTTACCACCAAAAGCCTGATAAAATGATAAAAATCCATTAAGAACCCAACGTTTTTGCGAATTTTTCATAAAAAAAAAATTGACTCACGACGTGTTTCATTATTTTGCGGAATAATTTTGAATTCCCACGAAAAAATATCGAAGACCCATCACACGAGCGTCAGACATTTTGCAAACAAATTATTAACAAATATAAAAAATCATTCACTAAAAAACTCCAAATTCAGTCATTAATTTTCAGGATTCCCCGAATTATCGCCGGGAGGATCACTCGTAAAAATATGGGAATGTGAAAAGATTGAAAGAAAAATTGAAAAGTAAAATATTAATAAAAAATATTTTCTATATTTGGAAGATATGGAAAATTTGTAAATATATGGAAAAATCCGAAAAATTCACTGTTCACTGGTGAAATCTTGAGAGATACCTTGGAAATGCCTGCGTCAGAACTATCTCTAGAGGATCGAGGATCGAGGGTGATGAGCACTCCGTCGGTTGGCACGGACGTACCATTCGTTCCTCCAATGATAAAGCTATCAGCTAAATTCGTGAATTTTTCCCATCACCAGGTATTTTATTAACACATTCCCTCATGTTTATCTCGATCCGGTGAACATGAGATACGACTTGTACGTTGAATATCGCGCACTGGATGCCGACAATCCTCTCAGGTGCATCTTCCGATAATTATCCAATGGGTAAATAGTAACCGCAATTTTATTAATGAAAAATATTTGACGAAATCGTCATTTGAACGTCAACGCCGTGACCGAGGGGTGCATACCCTTTTCCGCGCGAGTCAGGGCTTTCTCGGTGCCACCGAAGAGATCGTACACATACACATACAACACGAGGTTACAAGGGAAGGGTAAAGGTGGCATACCTCGTGGTGGAGGAAGAATTTCCCCGTTTTCATCTGGAGGGATAATTCGAAACATCGTCTGCGCGCGCCACCCCAATCCCAAGAGAGGAAGACCAAAACCGTTTACGCCGACGTAATCGTACCCCTCGAATTTCCAAAATTCCCCTCCTTCCTCCATAATTTCACTCAATTTTTGAATTATCACTCACGTCCAATCAACACCCTCAGTAACTCCACTTATCTTATTTCTTATTTTTTTTTAGAATAATTTTAGAATAATACAAGTTACTCGGGACTTTCCCCCGAATTTTCGGGGGTGAGTGCGAAAATACTTCATCCCTCTCAGGAATTAGATTTTTTTATTTACAATTTATGGCGACATTTATCGGGATTTTACGGTTTCACTTGTGAGACGAAGTCAGAGATTTTCATAGAGATTAAAAATATCTTAAGATTTTTTAATATAGAGCAAATTATTTTTTTGTTTCAAAAATTCATCAATATTATTTTGTATTAAACAATAACATTTGGGCCTGGATTTTTTTTGCAGGATTACTATTAGTATTTTATTTTCGTTGATGCATTCTCTATTACCAATTTCTACAAAAATAGCCGGAAATTTATGTAAAAATTCCCTATCAAGAAAATAAATCGCGTACCCCAATAAAATGTCCGGTGTCGACACTGGAATTTCGTAGCTGTCAGTTATTCCTTTTCTTTTCAGGATTAGAATTTTCTTACAATTTTCTTTCCCCGTGTCGAACGATTTTACAATCCTCACTGTAATTCAATCGAATTAAGGAAGCTCGGGTTAATTATGTAATTGATGTTGACGTGCTGAATTAGTGCCGATCTAAGCAGCAAACTATTCGACAACTTCCAACTGTTCCTGGTTATAATTGGACAAGGATACCCTGGGGAATGGAGTTCTAGGGCACTCAATTGTTTGAGGTTTGATTGACAATTTATACCGTAGAAAATGGCTCATTGGAATCACTCGAGTCAAATCTCTTCCGACAATTGCAATTATCAATTGTACTAAATCCATTTCGAACTTGTAAATCTCCAGTCATCAATAACAGCAAGGATAATTATTAATCTTGATTATTATCAAGAAGAGATAATCATTAGGATAATTATCGACAGTCTCGAAACAAATAATAATCAACAATAATAATGGATGGAATTAAAGTGGCGTATGTCTCGGCACGCGAATGTGAATGCAAATAAATGAATAAAATCATTCAAGAAAGCTGAAATTTCAAAAATATTCATGAAAATTAAACATTAAATAATGACTCGAATTCAATAAAATGAATTAATTCGTAAAAAAAATATAACAGTAAAAAAATGTCGGAAAATTTCAAGTTCGTCAGTTTAAATTTTAATTCCAATTTCCCACTGCCGTAATTACTCCCGGCCCCCACCGTAATTGCCGAGGTTAATATTTTCGTGTGTAATTAACAAAAAAATCTGAATGAAGAACTGGTGAATTTGAAATAACAAAAATGTTTAATTCAGGGATTGAAGTGGAGGTGCAGATGAATGAGTTGAAATGGAGAATACCGGGAAGAAATAACGAAGTTATTTATCCTGGAATAATAATAAGGTGACGAATTTGAACTTAAACAATTATCTCGGTGGAGGGATGGGGGTGGGATTGATGGGGGAGGTGGGGGATGTCGGGGTGAGGATGGAGGAAGAGGATGGAGGAAGAGGATGGATGAAGAGAATGGAGGAAGAGGATTTGTGATTTGGAATTGCGCGCGCTCCTCACCGGTTTTCCCGGTGTTCACCCTCTGAGGGGTTGCCATCCTCGATTCCGATGTGTTCTACCCCTGTTTTTGGGGGGTGGGGGAGAATCAACTGGGGACCACGAGGAGTTGGCAATGCTGTCGCGACATCCACCACTCGCGTACCGGTAAACTTAACACCACAAGCAACACACGCGCAACTCTAAATCTCATCGGCACGATGACGGGGCTAATTGCCAGGTGAGTCTTGACGTCTATTAATTATTGGCGATTGACCACCCAAAAAAAGACTTCAATCATATTTTTATTTTGTAGCACTTGCACTCATTTTTTTATTTTCCACACGATTTTCGTGATTATTCAACAATTTTTATTGTTCGGTTTTGTTTTTGTGGAATTTACGCGTCTCATTGCACTTGTACAAATAAATTATTAAAAGTTAATTAATTGATTATTGGATTTTGAATAATGAGAAAGTGACAGCGAATTTTTGGGGAATTATTTATTGAGGAAAAAGTGGATTTCTTGGATTTCAGTGATTTTCAATTTTCAGGTGCATGCAATGAAAAAATTTTCCATTGAAATTGAATTTATGAATATAATTGAAAATTAGATGAAATTGTGATTGAAATTTCCAGAAATCTCGGAAAATGTACTACACTGATTAAATTTTTCATACAAACGGTTATTTGTTATTTGTTCCTGCAATCAATAAATAAAAAATTCCTTAACCAATCGATATTTAATAAAGCTGTCAAATTCAACTTATTCTTTAATTTCACAATTCCATTATTAAAATATATTCGAATAAAATAACCTCCGAAAATTTGCGCCAATGAATTGATTTCGCGGTAATAATTTCGCAATTAAAAACAACGGGAAACATTTTCCGGAAATTGCACACCTCGTGAAATTTTCACAAAAACCCATTTTTCTCACCTGAAGGACCATAAAATTCCAACAACATATTATAAATGAATTGCAACCGGATATCGACAGGGCCATATTTCACCATCACCTCGCACTCAATTAATCTCTAATTACCTCCCCCCAATTGATTCTCAAACCGGAAATATGAATTCACAGAGGGAAATAGGAGAATCATTGAAAACGTCTCGTTGAAAAAAGTAAAAAATGAAAGTTAATTGTTCTGATTAATTGATATCCGACTAGACCCGTAATTTTGTCATATCCACATGTTGATTCGACTGTGAATCATTCACACATCTGATAGGACATTTTATAATTAACCAGCGAGGTGTGTCTTGACATGTGACGCGGACAAATCTCGACATATTTCGATGAGTGACATTCACGTTCTAGTTCGTTCAAGTACCCAAATCCAATTGCCATCGACTAGGGGATCTACGCATGTTCCCTCAGTTAATCATCGAGTTCATCTGATCAAATCAATAGTTTAAAAAAAATTAAATTCACAATCTACTTTTTAATACCTTGAAATCCCTCGTCTGCTCCTTTCTCAGTCCCCCAGAGTTCAATTAGCTAATTCCATAATAAGATTATAATTAATTATAAATAAGATGCTTACTTAATTAAAAGAAGGCAATATCCTCAGTTATTATTTTATACTAATTTTTATAAGTACTCCAATAATGAAATAATAAGATAATGAGATAATGCGATAATTAAATAATAAGATTATAATTGATTGGTTTCATGATTTGGATCTCTTCAATGGCGGAATGAAATGATAATTAATTGTGAGGTGATTAATTTGAGATTAATGCTCTTATTTTTAATGGCGGAATGGAGAAATAGTGAATATTTTAATAATTATTATCCAAGCAGTAGAAGATCGGAACAACTGGGGCGCAATGCTTTCCAACTTTTTATTCCCCGAATTTGTCCTACACTTGTTTGGAAAATGTAGAGTTTACATTCACCAGTTGTGGGGATGGTTTTCAAATACTAACGAGTAAGTGAGGGCAAGCTTTTTCGGTGATTTAAATAAAAGCTCCCTGCCATTCCATTTCAAAATTTACCAAGGGTAAACTTCCGTCACGTTTGACTGCTCCATAGCGTGATTAAATCCCCCATCATCAGTCCTTGGAAATGTCTACTTCATGGCACAACAATTGACTGCAATTGTTCTACCACTATTTTCCGTTTTTTTACGAATTATATTTTAAAAAAAAATTCACCCTTTGGAAACTACTTGAAGCACTTCCACTAAATATTGTGGGAGGGGATGAAGACCCATCAAAACTTTAAGAGGAGAGTTCAACCTCGGGACGTGCATTTTCACGTGAGAAAAAGTTGAAAAAACAAATTGCATTTGTATGAATTTTCGGGAAATTAAAATTATCGATCGGTCATTTTTTTCAGAGATGTTTTACGCTGATTGGATAATTTTACGGGCTTTCAAGGATCGTCATTTTTTTTAAATTATTTTTAACGCGATAATTATAAAAATACTGAATTATCACTGCATTGCAGTAAGAAAAGAAAAAATTCTCCATCAAAATGAATTTACTTCACCCAAGTAAATTTACCTGGCGAGAGTAATTATTTTTCAGAGAGTACCCGATGACTATCTATCAAATTAATTCCAAATATCAAAACCGATTTCCATTTAAACCGTGTGAATTTTCACGTGCCCCTGAAATCCCCCGTCAACATCAATTATTTCCCGATTTCCCAAGGCAATTTAAAAGATAAATTCCTCACCAAACGCACCCCACCCCAATTCTCCCAAAGAAATTGATAAAATCCCTGAAAATACTGATAGCTCATTGAGTGGTTGACACAACCCCACCTAATTTAAACGTCGAATGTTTACCCCGTTGCATCCGGTGTTTTGGTGCATCAAACGCCCACACCGACACTCCTCCACGTACACCACCTCCAACGCTCAGAATTAGATTCGCGCATCCGGAAAAACGCCAACTCCAAGTTAATGGAATGACGAGCAAAGTCTGTGCGGAGGGGTTAAAAAAAAAGGGGTGGGAAAATCCAGGAGGCAGGGGGCGACGTGAAAAAAGGAAAAGAAAAAAAAAATGTAAAATAAAAAAAAATGGAGAAAAGTTGGAGAGGATGTAGGTCGTTCGGTGTGTTGGGATGGTACCCCCCGGGGGTTTTCACTCCCCCGCAAACTCTTCTGGTGGAGGCAACCGATATAAAACTCCATCCTCGACAACCTCCCCTGCCCCGGCTATCGCACTTTTGTACCACTCGTCGTTACGTTCTTTCACATGAAATGCCATTTCCCCGTGTCTGTTATTTGCCAAGGATTCCACCAATTGAAACGTAATCGACGTAAGGAGTTCCCGGGCTGTTGAATGAATCAAATCCATCCCGGAGGTGGATTCCCCATCTCCAGGGTTAAGAGGATTCGATTCGAATTCCGTCGTGTATTTATTTCCCTGTTGGAGTGCCTGACAGTTGATAAAATATTTCACTTTAAATGATCTCAAATATTTCTTGAAACTTAAAAATCCTGGAAACGTCCATATTTCTTTAATTAAACAGGAATTTATATTACGTTTCTCCCCCTCCTTCCCTTGTGGGGTGATTGGAAATTATTGAGGGGTGGGGGGAGTCATCGCTAATATCGATGGGTTATTGACGGGTCAATGGAATGTCATAGATAAGGAAAAAATAATTGAAAAAGAAGTTTTTGCGTTGTTCGATTGTAAATAATTGTACTCAATTGGATAATTGTATTTATTTTAGCGGAATGAGATGGGAAGTGATTGAGGAGAAGGGGAAAGGAGTAATGAGGCTGTCTCAATAGTTTTAATCGGTGAATGTCAATTGAAAACTAGATAACAGTAGTTAGAAACAACAGGCTCTCGATTTACAACCTGAATTCTCTGGGAGTAACAAACATTACTGATTACTCTAGAGATCCTTTTGAAGACTTCAAGAGGAGCTTCTTTCAATTGAAAAGTAATTACTTCATTTAGTGCTTTAACAACTATTTTTCATTAACACAAGATTTTACAATCAATTCGCACTTTCCAAACACAAGGAACGCTTTTTGAAAATTTAATTGTCTATTCCAATACGAGTGAAAATTGTTATAAAATTGAATAAAAAAAATATAAATCCCTCGATAAAATTGATAAAAATAAATACATCGATAATCCACGCGCGAAAAGCTGCATTGAATAAAATACCTCGCAAAAATAAATTTCTGTATTCATCCTTCGTATTACAAAATCCCATTGAACTCCAATGTTTTATGTATCTCGCTCGCCTATAAATTTCATTATAAATTTTCAAATGTGTCGCTCACTGCGGCATATTCTCACGAGTGATCACTCGTTTTTGACCCCAATACATACCATCCCATTATCCATTGTCATTTTTTTTTTTCAAAGTCCGTCACGTATTCTATATCACCAAAAGCCGTTTACGATCTCTTAACTCTCCAAATGCAGGAAAAGCGGAGTCTCGTGTTCACTGGCCGTTGTTTCCTCATCCCTTTATTTCCCCGATGCTTTTTTTTCCCCAGTATCTCCAGTTCTTTTCTATTCCCTCACGTCTCAACAATTTCTCTCCAATGACATTCACGAGACCGTATATTTCGCATTATAGAAAAATACCCTAGTCCCATATTAGCAACAACATTTTCATTTCCACATTGAAATTTTGGTGTCTTTGGGTTGTTGATTACAATTCGCTTTTCCTCTCGGAGAAATTATTTTATTCTCCAATTTTTATCTCCGTTCTTCCGGAAAAAGTGCACGGCAGGAATTTTTTACAACAGACTCGAATAAACGGGGACAACAACGAAATGTGGGAGGGACGGGAAAAAAAAAATCTAAATGCACACATAATCGGTTAAAAATGTGATGCAACCGGGGTGTAAAGATTCCACTTGAAACATTTGCGACACTAGCCCTTTTCATGGATCCATGATGCTGTGTCAGCGATACCGAGGAGCCTTTTTTCCACCTCTCGTTCACTTTATTCTCGGTACACCTCTTGGCACAACTCGAGACGAAGGGGAAAAAAAAATGGTTTAAACCCCTTCGACCCTCCCCACCCTATTTATCCATATGCCCCAAAAAACAATTGGGAAAAATAGAATTGAAAGAGTGAATCGAGAGTTCACATCGACCTATCCCAATTGCCAGATTATTCTCATTTTCTTTTTACTCTTTTCTCTGCAATTTTTCATTCCACCGTCGAGCAGATTCAAGTGTTTTTGTATTACATGATTTATTCATGATCCTCTGTGATGCCTTTATGTAATTAAAAGTTGTCAGTTGAATTTATTGTGAAGGCCTTGACGTCTGTCGTTATCTGTTTCTTTTTCACCGAATTTTTCTCGTTTTTCGAGAATTTCATTTTGAATCCCTGTGATATTTGAGAGCGATGGCCGATTTGACTTTCTCACCAATTCACTCCTTTGAGTTCATTTTTATTCGTTTTTCGTTTATCCTTCGAGTGGTCACCTCTGTTGACTTTTGCAGACGACAATATTCCGATTCGTCTCGTTTTTCTTCTCGTTTGAACTCAAGAAATACGTGGGAAATATTTTGGAGCGAAATTCAGACGCACATTTAATAGTCCTACTATCTAATCTAAATTATCTAATTCATATCCCGTCACCAATAATAAAATAATAAATCGAATGCAATATTTCTGACAATTACCTCATTGTGAATTATTTATTCACAATGAATCATCGCTATTGAACAAAGTTGTATTTTTAAAAATTGTGAAAATCATAAAATTAATTGTGCAATTGTGCAATAAAATTTTCGAGGTATGGGGGGATGAAATATGAATTATTTGAGATTATCAGAGAATCAATGAAATGGAAGTTGATTTTTTTTCTCTGAATGTATGCAGATATTCCTGATCCACTGGAGATGCAAACTCACCTCTGCTCCACTAAATTCCAATCCCTTTTGCCACCCACAATTCCACATGGATACTTGTTGCCACCTAGTTGATCCATATACTCCAATAGTAACTGACTAGTACATAGCTGTAGGGTAGAGTGGGTACATGCCCCAAGGAATGCGAACACTACCTCGGGTGACAATCCTGCGTTCCTTGCGTGCTTCTGATCTCTCTAAAATCTCCACCACATGCTGCAACTATCTAAATCCTCATCCACTCGATGCATATATTTTTATCCACAACTTTCCAAAACCACCAATAATTTTTCTCACGGTATGTTGTGAGCTATTGAATTTTTCAATGGGTAACTGACACTGAGGTACGATCTAGTCACCCTGGATCCTCAAACTTCCCAGGAATTCAGTGTCAAGACAAAAAATTCATTTTTTTTTGTCATGTCGAGCACGAGCTTTCGATGGATTTATCGGCGACACTTTTCCCCAGCTTTTCCTTCGAGATAGAAACATTTCTGGGGAATCTGTAACCCGGGGTTTTAGTGACACAAGGGATTTTAAATTTCACGGAATGAGAGTTGAATGATTTTTAGAAATTTCGAGACCAAAAAAAACACTCGCTTGTATTTCAAAATCTATTTTCGGGATTTATCAAAATTGAATGGTTTATCGAGTTCGATAGCAATCGACTTCGAGCTCTTGCTGTTGGGGAATTAATTATGGATTATTTTTTAATGAAAAAGAAATTTGAGGGTTTCTATGACATTAATCATTGGTTTAGATTTTAGAAGCGGTAATTTATATATTTATTTGAGTAAAAAATTTTGATTTGACCCAGAAATATTTATTTATTTAATATTCATGTAAACGAAACCACAGGTTATGAGAAAACAAGATGAATCCCCTCGTAAACTTTATTAAGTTTTTCTTGAATCTCTGAAGATTGAAAGGGGATATTCGATTTTTTAGATATCCTGTCGGTAACTCTCATTTCCCTTTGAAAAGAAAAATCCTGAGATGATATTTCTATGAGAATCTCTCCATTTCTCTGAGATTAAATGGTATTCACGAAAAACTCTCCCTGATAAAAATCACTCTCTCGAGGTAGAGGAAAATCAGAGAAGTAACGGATACATCCGAAATTCTACATCTTAATCAGTGTTATAGTGGTACTCATCAGCCTGGGAAGATGTTGGAGCAGTAATCACACGATTCACCACCTGCTACCAGCAACTGTGGATCTCAGCTCGTTAGAGCGAATCACCAGGGGGACAGTCAATGATGTAGTGTCCAGGAACATAACAATGGTCCTGGAAAATCTATTGATGAACTACGAGAACAGTCAGCTCCCAACTCACGGAAAAGGTACATCTCCATTAATCTGAATGAACAAGACTTGAGTAAAAATTTTTTATGAATTTGTTATAACTGCACATGATGCACATTTAATGAAAGATTATTTTTTTGTTTATATCTGAAACTGAAAGTAATTTCGTTTCAATATTTTTGGTAGAATTTATTTTATAGATAAAAATTGTAATGGTTTTAATTAATAACAATTTTATTTCGTTGTTGAATATCTGGGCTCGGTCGTAGAATTTAGAATCGTTAAAATTAAGAATGTGGAGTCATCGGATGTGTCTAGAAATATTTCCCTCGATATTGATTGAGTTAAATTCTCCGTTTTTCTCTCAGTTCGACACCTGTTGACTAGAGCCTCTTATTTCTATTGTCAATAATATCGGTCAAGTTGTTCCTATCGTTTTGCGAATCCTCTGCAATATGTATCCGTGGAATGATAAATATGAGAAGATGTATACGATGCACAAATATATCAGGAAATGTTTGGACATTATTTCCTCGAGAAACCCTCACACCCTGAGTTTCCTCCAATTTATTATTACCTAAACCACCATTAATTTATAATTATTCAAATTTTTGTCTTGCGGAAAAAATATTGAAAGCCTTTTTATCCGGAATTTCTATTCCATCCGAAAACAAAAAATCGAATTGATATCAATTATTCATTAATTAATAACTCATTGGTGAATAGATAATTAACAAAATTGTTAAATTGGATTTATCTCACTTTATCGGTTCGTTAGTGCATTATTTTTCAAATATTATCCGTATTTTTTATCAAATCGAATATAATTAACAATTCGTTTCATATGACGAAGGAATATGCAAAAAATCTGGATGTACTGCCCCAGTTCTCATCAATTGCGTTATTCTGGAGTAAGCGAACACACAGCATCGTCAGCGTGACACTTGCCGGTTAATATAATATATAGAATAACGCTGACCAAGTGATATACACAATCAATGCATTATTTAAGACTTATGCCAACAATTATTATATTATCATGAGAGTATGTCCACTCAAACCCAATTATCCACATTACAAAAAAAAGTGGTCCATTGAATTGTAATTGAAAAATAATTAAATTTACACTTTCCTAAAAACAGAAAACGTCAAAATTATTAAATTGTCCCGTCAGACTAACGAGGGCTGGAATTTGCCGATTTTTTCGCTAATGGTTTCCGGGCTAAACTAAAGAACTCAAAAAAAAAGTAGATAATACAAAGCATTCGAAATTGAAGAGCCGCCAGCGCCGAATATCTCGCACCGTAGACTAAAAAACCCGTGAAAAACGATTTACTACCTCCAACAAGCACTGGAAAATCTCTTTATCGATAAAATTTCCATTCATCCTCTCATCCCTTAATGACGCAACCTGGTACCCCATCGAATCCACGGAATTCCATCGAGGAAAGTAAATCGCTCTCAATATCACCAGATTGCTGCACGCATAAATACAACATCGATTCGTCCGATACAAAGCGCAATAACGTAGTCAGGCAGAACGATTTCCTCCAGATCAGGGGGGTAAAAAAAAAAAAAAAATATGAGAATAATATTCCATTTTTGCTGCTCGTCCTTGCAAACCGATAGCACACACGCGGCATCAGATCGACATCCGGCTCACCTTCCTGATTCCCTTTTCGCTCCAGATGCTTACCCTCCTCAGCCCAACGTATTCATTTCATGTTTTTTTATTTTATTCTCACTCATCCCTCCTCTACTCCCCTTTTACAACTGAATATGGAAAATCACGAAAGTGTCCAGCTCTCAATTCACCAGGGACGTGGGAAGTTGGATGACGTCCAGAGACCTGACCACTGGGGGAGTCACTTTCAAATTGCCTTTTCCCTTTCAAATTCTGCCGCCTCTGTTCTCTGTTTGCTCTAATGTCTTTTCATTTCACCTTTTTTTTACCCATTTTTCCCATTTTCCCACCCATTTCTTTTGTCAATACTTTCCACTGTTTACTCTAGTTTCAACAAAAGTCATATCGCGAATAACAACTGCGAAACCAGAATGCCCAGTGACTTTACCCTCTCTATTTCCTCCATTCTCTGTCATTTTCCGTATTGAGTAAAAAATGTGAATAACATTTTTATCATTTTTAGTCGATTCGTCGATTTTTCCCGATTCACATACATCAAATTTCCTAATAGTGAAAATAGCGAGAGAATTTCCCCACAATTAATTTTCATTTGCATCAAGAGAATTGACGGGACAATTGGATAGCTTGGATTTGTGAATGTGAAGAAATAGCATCTTTAATCTTTCAGGGATTCCAACGGTCGTGAAAACGAATATTCTGATACGAAGCATGGGACCAGTTTCCGAGTTGGATATGGTAAGTAGTCCGAACATCTGAATCGGAATGATGAGCTCTGATCTGATCTGTGTGAAAAAAAAATCCCCCAGGACTACTCGATGGACTGCTACTTCCGTCAGTACTGGAGGGACTCACGTTTGAGCTTCTTGGGACCGATAAAGTCCTTGAGCTTGAGCATCAAGATGTTGGAGAGGATATGGCGTCCCGACACGTATTTCTACAATGGCAAGCACAGCTACGTACACACAATAACAGTGCCGAATAAGCTATTGCGAATATCCCAGGACGGTGACATCCTCTACTCCATGAGGTACGATTTTATTGCTCATGGCTTTCGTTATTTCACATCCACTCCGAAACCACTTCCTGAGAAAGAGAGAGATTATATGAAATTAATGCAGATTGACGATAAAGGCCAAGTGTCCGATGGAGCTGAGGAATTTCCCGATGGATCGACAGTCCTGTCCTTTGATACTTGGCAGTTGTAAGTGAACGCAAAGTTTATACTTGAAACAGGCAATTCTCCGGGTTCTGCATTCATCCCCTCTTTGAAAAAAGCATGCAACAGCTTTTTTCATATTTTAGATTCGCTCTCTATGACATTATTATTTATGCATTTATGTACTGTGATTTATAGTTAAAAAGAGTTAAAAAAAATTATTTTTTGAAAAAGCGCATTTTCCTCTCCCAAAAATTCCACCCCCCAAAAGTCCGCCCTTGATCGACTTTTTTTTCCATTAGATTTCAATGATAATCTAGATTCCAGTCAGTGATAGAAGTGATAAAAAATGCCAAGAGGCGGTGGAGGTAAAGTGTCACCGAAAAAAAATTCAACATGTAGTAAAACTGATATGCACCGGTCGTTTGTATCGCTATCTGGTGCATGTGCTGACATTTTTTGACCTTCGTAGGATATAAAAATGGTGGAGCACTGGAGGCTCGATGATGAATAATTTTTTTACAGACGCCTACACCACGAGACAGCTGGTTTATGAATGGCAGGAGGGACCCTCTGTGGATTTCGTGCCTGGTATGGCACTGTCGCAGTTTGATCTAATGGGTTCCCCCTACAGAAATCTCACGTTTGTCAGACGTGAGGGGGAATTCTCAGTGCTCCAGGTCTCCTTCAATTTGCAACGCAATACCGGATATTTTCTCATTCAAGTGGGTCATTATGCACTGCTTAATCATTTCAGTTAATCAATGGTATTCATTGAAAAATCTCTCCCACCAGGTGTACGTACCCTGTGTTCTAATTGTCGTACTCAGCTGGGTTTCATTCTGGATTCACCGGGAGGCGACCAGCGATCGAGTTGGTCTCGGTAATTTGCACCATTGAAAAATATTTTTAACTTGATTTCAAGTTGGAATTAATGACCACTGAAATTCAGGAAAATCTCTCATTTCATTTCAGATTCAATTAAATTTTATGAATTGTCTTGGATTTTTTTTAATTCGTGCAATTGCTGTAATTCTTTTTAATGGAATTCATTGTTCTTTGTCTGATTTTCCTCGAAGGAATTACAACCGTTCTGACCCTTTCAACGATAAGTCTAGACTCGCGAACAGATCTGCCAAAAGTGCGTTACGCAACAGCTCTGGATTGGTTTTTACTGATGAGTTTTTTTTATTGCATCGCAACACTCCT